GCTCTGCTGTACCCTCCCGTCTATCCACGATCTCCACCTCTCTCCTCGCCCTCAGAAACCCCCCACTCCAAATCTCGAAGGAGAAAGTCAAGACAAAAGAAAAACGCACCTCCGTCGCCTTGATCGCTGCCGTATAGTTCCAGTGCTTCCAGTCCGTGACCCAGCGCTTGCCCGAGTGGAGCATCTCGATTTCCCTGGGGAGAAGAACAGGGTGAGTCTCGGCCTCTTGGATCGGAAGACAAGCAAACGGAAGGAAAAAGCAGTTACGAGGTAGGTGCGAGACAAAGAGTAGATATATAAAGAGGGAACGACGGCTACGCCTTGGAGGAGAGACGAGAGCGGAGGGAAGGAGGGAGACGACAACGATGAGGCGACGCAGTGCCAGCAGCGTGTCGCCCAAACTGCATGGCTGTACCTCGACGTGGACGCGAGGAGCGGCAACGGGTGTCCCCATCCCGGCGGCATCGTACTTGTCCACCGTCTCCCCCTCGACCTGCGGCGCCAAAGATGTTTTACAATCGATTTCGCCCTCACGTGCGCCCAGCGTGCGCACATGCCCGCTGCAGATAACACCGCACACCGTCCCTGGGTCCGGGGCCATAGTCCAGCAATCTTGTGACCATGCTGCTACTCTCCGCGTCCTCCATCCCCTACGCACATCAAGACCATCAGACGCGGGCGAAGGGCACGCTCTTCTGAAACGCACGCCCACACACAGCGCAATAGCTGCATGCTTCTCGTCTCGTCTCGTCTCGGGGGCACCGCAGCGGGTATCGCATCGATTGGCTCGACGCTCCTCTTCATCCGCCCCATCGAGCAAAGAACGCACGCCGACCCCGCGTGCACCACGCCCGCTGGGATAGCCTTCCTGCGCTACATCCACATCCAGCGCGTCTGGTATGCGCTCCACGACCCTGTCCCGCTCACCACCGCGACCATCCATCCCGCCCCCGATCCCCGACGGGTAACGTGACGCTCCGCTTCTCCACACACCACCGCGCTCCATATCCAGCACGGTATGCGACCCCGTCCCGCCCACCATCACGATCATCCATCCTGCCATCCGCGTGCGCGATGCGCTCCCCTCTCGGTATCGCGCCACGCACCACCGCCGTCCACAGCCGCATCGCAGCACTCGGACAAGGTGTATGTCTCTGCGTCTCCAGGAGCACGCGCGGGCAGGAGGGAGGTATCGTCATATCGGTACCTCCCCCGCTGAACTCCGGTCTCCATCTCGAGAGTAAAGCAACTCCGCTCTCTGCCTCCCCACTCCTCTCGCCCCATCCAAGCCGAAAACAGATACGCGAGGAATAGGAAGAAGAAAGAACAAGAAGAAAGGAAATAAAGCACGCACATCCGACTCTTGCTCGCGAGCTTCGCAAACTCGCTCTCGAGGTACTGCACTACGAGGGGCTCGGCGGCCGGCAGGGGAACGAGTCTGCGAGTGTGTCAGTTATGATACAGATACAAAGGTTAAGAAGGAAAAGAGGAGGGGGGAAAGGGAAAGGGAAAGAGAGGACAGCATCATCTCCCGCTAAGAAATCATCGACGCAGGCCCGCGCAGGGGGCAGATGAGTGGGCGCACCGCGCCCGTACTCCCTCCTCCCCCTCCCCAGTGACTCGTCTCACAATTCGGCGACGAGCGCCCATCACACCCGCCGCATAACTCCACCTTCATCTCCTTCTACTCCTCCTTCCCCATCTCCCCCGCGCTCTCTCCCTCCCGCACGCGGAGGTCTGCGAGCATAAAGTCCGCGTGTGCACGATGCGCGGAGACACCTTCTCCCCATTCCTCGTCGGTGCGCACGACACCACAGGGCTCAGCGCAGCACTCACAGCCCCATGATGGGCACAGGCCCAGCGTGCACTCCGCCATCCCCGCCCCTCTCGCGATCCGACACGGGCCCGCACGCGAAGGCGGGAGGCTGCGTGTATGATGCGCGGAGACACGTTCTCCCCTCTCCCCATTAACACGCGCAGCGATCAGCACCCGCACGCATCCAGCCCCACAATGGGAACGAGCACCACAGGCTCGGCGTCGCTCCCCGACGTATCCTCCTCAATCTCGGTACGCCCACACGTACAATGGACGGCGGCACGCACATCTGTCAGCCAGCTCCCGCTCCTACGTGTCTGTCCTCCCCGCCCTCCCTCCTCTTCGCACGACACGCACGCACGCATGCCCTCCTGACGCACTACGCCCATCCTCCTCGTCTCGTCCCACCCTCGTCATCCCACTCTCGTCTCCGACACATCCCGCCCCGCCTCCTAGCACGACACACAGCCCGCACCAAGCCCTCTCTCCGCCTTCTCCTCCTCCGCGGTCTCGGATCCGACCGTGCGGGTGCATCCCCCGCTCCCCGCCCATCCACACCACACGTACGACGAGGGGCCAGCTCCCAAGCGCCTCGCCGTCCCTCACTTCCCTCTCGCCCCTCCTCCCCGCACCCACACCTCCAAGAGAAAGACAGTAGAAACCCGCAAAAAAAACCCACCTAATACCAAACTTCCCTCCCCCCAGATAACCATCTTCGCCCCAGGGCCAGCGAAGGCGTGCAGGGAGAGGGAGGGGAGGCGCATGCAGCGCATGCGGTCCGTCGTCTGTGTGGAGAGCGTAAGCGAGCCCGAAAAGGAAAGGAAAGGAAAGGAAGGGACATAAGAGGGAAGGTGGGAAGGAGGGAAGAAAGGGAGGGAAGGAGGGAAGAAAGGGAGTGAAGAAGAGAGGAGGGAAAGCAGACGCTGGCGCCGAACTCGTCTCGATCTGGAAGCAACACCCGTCCTCTGCACGGTGTCCCTTCGGCGCGGGCACGTCCGCACGTTCCCAAGATCCCTTTCGCGCCGCCATCTCTCTCCGCGCGCGTCTTCTCTCATTCTCGATCTGCAGCTCCACCCCGACGGTCTTCTGCACCCCGTCCTCGCGCCGACATCTCTCCACCCCTCGCATCTACGTCGGGCGCGTCGTCTCCCTCACGCAATGAGCACTCCGCCTCTAGAGGTCTATTCCGTCCGCATTACCTCGTTCGTGCGTGTGCGGCCCATGCTGGGAAACGCCTCCCCCTTGTGCGCACACTCGCACCACACCTCCACCAGCAGTAGCCGCATCGTCGAGCCCCGCATCGCCTCGCATCGGCTCCCCCGCCAGCAGCACCTCCCCATCCCCGTCGACGTCGACATGCACGTCCTCGGCACGCCGTCCCAGCAGCAGCAGCACCTCCATCCTCTCCCTCTCGTCCTCACATCGGATTGCGTCAGCCTCGCGCGCCCTCATCCACGTCCCGCATCCGCATCCGCATCGCCGAGCTCCACATCATCGTGCCCCCTCGTCCTCTTCACGCACGCACCCGCGGCACACGCTCTCCCTCCTCTCCTTCTGCTCAAACGAAAACCGCAAGCGCATCCCACCCCGTGCACCCCCTCCCCTCCACTCTCCCCCGCTCATCGACAAAAAAAAAAGAAAAAACCCTCCCCTCCCGTCCCCTCCCGTCGCTCAAAAATAAAGTAGACACCTTATCATCGCGTGATGCTGTAGTCGAGTCTTTTCGTAGATCGCGCTGTTTGAGTGCGTTAGTATAATAAAAAATATAAAAATAAAATAACGAGAGCAAGAGGACGGTGAGAGATAAGATATATATATATAAAAGAGGGGCGGCGGGACGAGACGAGACGCGCTCAACGTCCCGAAGAAAATGACACGAGGAGCGTCCCCTCCCTCTAGAGATGCGAAATGTGCCAAAAACCCAAAAAAGAAACAACACTTTCCCGAACAACCGCTCGAAAGGGAGGGCAGGGGAAGGGGAAGGGGAGGGGGAAGAAAGATAATTCAGACGCGTCGCTTCCCACAGAACGCTCGGAAGAAATGTGAGGAGGGCGTAAATGCGTGCATCCAGCAAAATACTCGCCCGAAAGAATCACGAAAAGACGGTCGGACGCGCCCCGCACGCGCTCCCAGCCCAAAACGCCCCCCGCCCCTCCCTCCCAAACCAAAAAAAAGAGATAGAGAACAAGAACCAAAAAAAACGCACCGCTCCATATCGTCCACGCCGGGCACGAGTATATTCCCCGCCGAGTCGACGAGGCGTGACTTGAGGGAAAATGAGGTCGGTCATGGGCTCGTGTACTGTGCGGCCGAATACGCCTGGGGGGAGGGGGTTAGCGTTTGTTACGTTTAAATAATAACAAAACAGAGGATAAGGGAGTTTTAAGGAAATATGTGGGATACGAAGGAATGAGACGCAACACCTGCACGCACCAGAATGCAAGTCCCTCCCCGGCCCCGACATAGTAAGCTTGAAATACACGAGCCCTCTCAAGACATAGGTGAGCGCGCGCATGCGGGTGTTAAGCCAGTAGTTGTCGCTCTGCACAAGGCCTAGAAAATGAGAACGGAACCCAAAAAAACGAATCAAACGGCACTCACGATGCAAACACAATCCACATCCTTGAACCACGCGTCCTTCTCCCTCTCTCCTCCATCCCCTCGAAACACATCACCAAATTCACGGGCATCTCTTTCTTGTGCTCATAATGCCACTGCAGCACCCCAAACCAGCCGACCACCGGCCCCTTGGCGTCACTGCTCCCCCTCCCCACGTCCTTCTCCTCGGTGAGAACGAACGGCTCGGTGTCCCACCCGTCGCTCTTCACCGCGGGCTGCACGTCAAGGTGTCCGTACACCAATACGGTCTTCTTTGCTGGACTCGGAGATGGAGGGGATGGCGACGGCTTCGGAGAGCCGGGCGATGAAGGCGGAGGCATCGATGTTGGCTGGGGCGGGCATCGTTGTCTTGTGTCCGGTGAAGTGTTGGAGAGGATGCCGTTTTGAGAATGACGTGGCAGCGTGGGAAGGATAACGTGCCGGTCAAAGCGGTGGATAGCGCGATCGGTTGACCGAGGGTGGCTGCAAATTTAAAATATACTGGTTCTGCGAACGTATGTCCAGAGTGAAACGTCCAAAATAAATAAATAAAAAGTCCCAAAAAACCTTTTGGTGTGCCTTCTTATTCGGATACGGGGAGTCGAACCCCGGACTGCCTTGAACAATATTTGTCTACCAACAGCTCATGTGGGGAGGCCGTGTACCGTACACTATATCCGATTGATGCTCTATCCTTCGAGACTAGCTAGATTACCTGGTGATTTTTTAGAACTGCCCAACCGAATTGCGCGATACATCATGCAGCTTCGGATGCCCGAGATGCCCAAATAATTCAACATCACAAAGTTGCTAGGTTCACAGTGAAAGAACGACCGTTGAGCCGATCACCTATGTATGACCAAAATTGATACAAAAAAGGTGTTCTGGGAAATAAAACGAAAAGATTCCTGGAACCAAACGCATTCGGACACGGGGAGTCGAACCCCGAGCTGCCTCCAACAACTTTGTCATATAACCTAAATGACGGAAGGTTGTGTAGTACACCATGTCTGATTTCCTCTATCCCTACCAAGACCACACTCGTTCACTAGCGTAGAAATTATAGGTGCCCCGCAACATTCAATTTCTGAGTTACCTGGTAGGTCTGTAATAATCCAACACCACCACGCACATCTTGCATCCTCATTCCCGAACCGCACCGCGGCGTCGAAGAATTTGAAGTTGGATAAGTTCAAAAAAAAAGCGTTGGTAAGGTTCATTCGGACACGGGGATTCGAACCCCGGTCTACCTCCAACAATGGTCTCATCATCAGATGTCAGGAGGCAGTGTAGCCTACACCATGTCCGATTCCTCGTACCATTAGATACCTCATTAGGTCCTACTCTTCTGTAACGTCCCACTGCCAGCCCAGTCAGATAGTCGACTCAACCACCAAAGCTCAAGTATGAACGGCACTCAAGACGAGTCGCATTTTTTTTTAAACTCGGCGCAAAAACAATGGATGGAGATCTACGCTGGTTTCTCCAGCAACCTGACATGAAAGTGCTGAACCAGAAAAAAAAGGGTGTGATCGCGCAATGCTATTCGGACACGGGGGGTCGAACCCCGGACAGCCTCTAGTAGAGATAGAGGCGGTGCACCCTACACCATATCCGAGCTATTCTGTATGTCACAAAGCCTAGCACATTATCAATTCCCTGGAAGGTCCCGGCAGCCAGTGATTGAGCAAAAAATATATGCACGGTGCGGCGTGCGCAACATGTCCGAGACGCCAAAAAACTACACTCTCGGTCACAACGACTCGAATGAGCGGGCATGTATTTAAAATGGCAGAAAGACAGAAAGCGAGTGTCGCGAATATCAGATGACGTTTGTGCGATGGACAAAAACAAAACAAAAAATGTGCAACTTGGGCTGGAAATACACATTCGGACACCGGGAGTCGAACCCCGAGCTGCCTCTGAGCTCAGCATTCAGACATTGGCAAGATGAGAGGCCATGTACCGTATATCATGCCCGATTCCCTGGCATCTAAAGAACTTTACTAGGTTAGCATTTTCTGGCTCATCCCAATCAGATTCACCAAACGCAACTGCACGCTGCCGAATTAACATAACCTAACTAGCATGCCATTACAAGCCCCATTAATATTGAACCTGTTGTCTGGGTCATCCGCGAAGTTGCAAATTTATGAGCGCTGGGCATCAAAAGAGAAAACAAAAACCGCAGATCAAGAACACACGGGGAGTCGAACCCCGGTCTGCCTGCAACAATTTTTACTACCAATCGGTCCAATCCGTATGTGGGGAGGTTGTGTACCACACACCATGTCCGATGCGTTGTCCTATTGAGATGGAAATGCTAGTCAGGTAGTACGCAGCTGTCGGAGTATCCGCAAGGATCTCCACCCGGCACGTACTCTCGAATTCAACGAAGAAATGTAGCATCGCCTCAACAGAGCGGTATCTTTGTCTTGCTCAAGAACCATTCCCTTGTAGTGGGACAAAACGATGTGGTCCTGTGTAAGGAGAGTCGACCAGTCGAATTGGAGATCATCCGGGGAATGGGGCAGCATGATCCAAGAGAATCAACGGCGCATCGAGAACAATGCGGAATACGTTTCCGAGGGCTTCATGAAAACACCTCGAGATGAGAGTACAGTACAAGGTACAGTAGGCGATATGACAAAATTTCTATCAATTATATTTTTAGAGCTGATGGTTGGCTGATGGAGTCGGATTCCTGGAACCATTTAGTTTTTGTTTGTGGACCCGGGCAAAACAAACGGAAACGGTATATAAACAGTTTAAAACGGTTTAAACTGTTTATAAATGGTATTTTTCACTGGCAGGGCAGTTTGCTCTCACTTGTATGAAGGGTCAAATCAAGTAATTTGACCATTCTGACATGCCTACAACAAATTGATTGCATCTATTGACCCCGAAGTGTACCAAGATGTTCGTGAAAGCGGGATAAGGGCGGAATGCAGGTATGTCGTTGGCTGAGGCGCTATCAAAATATGTACTATTTAATTCAATTCGCGCGCCCTGTGACCCGTGACATGGAGCAACGAACTTTCATATTCGTCGATTGCCCCTGGGGACCGTGACACAAAAAAAATTCGCGCTTTGCTCCAGAACTTTGGATGGATCTGTCGGTCTGGTTTCCAGTGCACGTGGGGACACTAAGGATATTGACGCAGAGCTGCCGGCCGAGGATACTTCTGATGAGGAGGCCGCACCCAAGGGCCGAGGCATGCCCACGCGTCGCCCCAACACCAAATACGCGGGCGAGTTTTGGCGCCACACCAACAACAAGGACCAGGATATCCCTGTTCCTGGTATTGAACTCCCTTTATCTACCAAGTAGTTTCAATAGAACTTGAAGGCTTTGTGAACTGCCAGTCCGATTCGCAGTGCTTTAGCGTCGAGCGAGTGCGTGTGGGTGCGGGACAAGTCGAGTTTCTCCGCTGCGGCCATTCCAACATCAGGGCGCGTTAGTGAAGAAAATTTTTGATTTTGGACGCATTTTTTTTCGCGATTTTGTGACTTTTTTGACAAGTTCGCGCTCAGCCTCGGTGACCTGTGACAGGCGCGAAATTATTCGTCGATTTGGGAGCCTGTGACGCGTGACCGACGAATTGAATTAAATAGTACAGTACATACTAATTTGGAAGGTCCTGCGTGTCGGTAGGCGGTTCTGTACCCCGGGACTATGTGTAACACATGAAACGACCGGGCTGGCACAAATTTATGCCTCGATCCATTTTTTCCTGATGAACGCAACCTCCAAGATGTGGTAAGTGATTGATTCTTGACAACCATTTAAATCGTTTACAAACGGTTTGTAAACTGTTTGCTATCCTGGGCAAACTAAATGGAAATAAAAACGGTTAAAACCGTTTGAAAACGTGTATAAACGGAAACGGTTGGAGCCTTAAGCCGGAAGGAGCTGAGCAGAGGACTCGGATAAGTCCGACGCGAGGGAAGGAGAACAAGGAGGGTGCGCAGCTTGCAATAGCCGCTAGACTTGACGGGGTAGGCAGCTGGACGGTGAAGGAGCCTGACGGCCGACCCTAGGTCTCGGCTTGTCCGGCCCGAAACCCCTTGGCAGACGGAGATGATGTGACTCGAGTCACTCCTAGTCACACTGACTGACATCTTCCGCCGAACAGTGACCACCATGGTCACCCCAGGCACCTACGTTTGTGCCGTAAGGGCCTGTCAGGTAGGTTAAGTGGCGTAGCAGAACTTACCTAAGAGGGGTACGTCTTCGTGAAGGTTTGTGCTTCTTTTAGTCATCAGATCAATTATTACAAATTAGGCAGAATCTCGTGACCTTCTTTCCTTCCTTCCTCTTCCTCCACCCAGCTACAAACACTCTGTATGCACTAACCATCTTACTGAACATGTTGGCCTGGACACCCACTTCAAGAACCCTCTGAGGACCTGCAATAAATGCAAGGAACGGGCCGTACAGAGGCTAGGTCGGACATGTGGAAAGTCCGAGGAAGTACAGCATCTAGACACTTTCTTGGGTCGGGAGCTGGCCCAGCACTCCAGACATAGTACCCACTACTGTTCCTGTGGGGCTGCTGGATGTAGATGTAAATGTGCCTGATTGGACCGACTTGGAGCTACTGTCACCTTCGCCACCACCTTCGCCAGTGCTTGGGACACAGCTCTTAATGTGCCTGTTAAGATAGGGCTATGGAATTGTCTGCTGCCTCGGGTGGAAACCTCTTGGGCCCCGTACATGGGCATAAACTTGGCAAACTACAAAATTTTTTGGACCTTTGGCACCTTCGCCACAACCTTCGCCGCCTCAGGATCCCACTAAAAGTGCTGCTCAACCGCTTGATGATGTATAAACTCATTCCCTGCTTCAGTTGAGCATGCACAGGGTAAACAGTTTAATTTCCTGCACCTTCGCCACCCTTCAGCACCTCTGCCACAACCTTCGCCGCCTCGGGGTCCCACTAAAAGCACTGCCCAATGGTGATGATGCATAAATGTGTTCACTGCCTCAGTCGGGAACCTCTTGGCTCCAATACATGAGCATACACACCACAAAAACCGTGTGTTTTTCTGCACCTTCAGCACCTGCGCCGCCTTGAGATCCCACTAAAAGTATTGCTCAACAGCTTGATGTCAAACAAGCTGCCTTACAGGACACTTGTGTATGCCAATGACACCATCACTGCCTCTGCACGGCGACCTTCTGTGACACCTTTGGTAATCCTTGGTGACACCTTCTGTGGCCTTCGTGGCCCAGTCACCTTGTTATTTAAAGCTGTAATTTCTTTCGCTGAATGTATTTCTTGTGTTTCCATTATCCACTGTTGCCCATCCAATGAGTTTGAATGACCAATTCTCATTCATAGGTTGATTTAAGAGAATTTGGAGGTCTATTCAAGAGAATCCGATCTATTCAAGGAATGGAAGATAGTACAGTCGACGGAGCATGCATGCAAGCCCATGAGAATGATGCCTTCTCGAAGTTGGATGCCTCCTGCATTCTGTTCGCGTAGTTGAACACAATTCATGCAATATATCTGCCAATAACTTGTTGAAGGCCAAGTACCAAATGGAGGAGGGCCACGCAGGGTGCAAGAAGGTGGTCGGAGGTCGGATTGAGCTTTGTGCCAGTGGTCTGGATGCACAGAAGCTTGCTCGAACGAGTTGACCCCTATAATTATATGGTCAATAGGACTTTGGACAAGACAATAAACACGCACTAGAGGCTTCTAATGTACTCCAGAATGTTTTCTTGACTTGCTGAGACTTGCTGAGCATGGGAGAGATGCTTTCTATGGCAGCACATAATAAAAATGGTGGTTGAGGTCAAATCATTAATGAGAACTTAGCTGTCTTTCAGCTCATTTCGTGCATTGGTTTCCCACTATCACAGAAAATTCTAAACTAAAATCAGAGGCCTTCGGGCAATACAGAAATGTAATTTCCGGCATTGAAGCACACAAATCTGTGCAGGAGTCCTCGTAAGAAAAAAAGACAATGATGGTTGACGGTTATAATGCTTCCTATTGGCTGATGAGATGAGGTAATCCGAGGCGGTGGCATCTGTCAATTACGTGTACAACATTGGAGGAGGTGGCGAAGGTTGTTGCAGAGGTGGCAAAGGCCATCACGGAGGCAGTGAAGGTCATTGCAGAGGTGGTGAAGGTCGCTGCAGAGGTGGCGAAGGTCACCAGCAGAGGCTAAGAAGGTTGTTACATATGGACCAATTTTTTCAAAAACAAATAAAAGTTGAACCCCCCGAAACTGCATTTGGCAACCGAAACTTTCCTTCCAGACCGACTTTGGGGGCGGGTGGCTGTGCGAGATATGTCGTAAAATCGGCGGTCGGCTTTAATCGGTCTAAAATGGTTAGTCGCATCAGTGGCGGTACAGTCTCGGAACAAGCCTTTCGAGTACGGTCACATGATGGGGTAAACTTTATGCGTCACTATCTTCATTCGAAAATTAGTTCTGCCATCGTGTTTCATTTGTGTTCTCTGGTAATTTCAAGTGATCTCTTATCATCTTTTCCATTATAGGGGCATTCATTGATTTGATGAACTTTTTATGTACTTCCGTGACCTTCGCGCTTCCACGAAAGCCTCTGTGTGGATTGTTTTTGCTGAATACTGCTTCTCC